GATTTCTCTTCAGGTGACAGATTTTGATACTCCTCCCATCTACTCTTATGATTCAGACAATGGTGCTGCGTATAATCGTCAGTTCTGAAAGGCGGGCCTTCAAGTGACCACGATGTTGACGATTTCTTGGCAGCACCTTCACGACCAAAGCATATAGAGAACTGGCAGCGAAGGGCGACGACCTGGAACGACTGCGGGTCACGAGCGGTGATCGAGAGACCGTGTTGCAAGATATATTTCGTCTGAAACGGAGTCTTACGGGCACCAGCTTTACAAGGGAGCTTTGCTGCGGGCTCAGACATCTTGATGGATGCACAAAAAAAACAAATCAGCACGGAAGTGACTACCTAGTATGGCGAAACGGCGTGACGGAGATCAGAATGATTTATTTATTTTTTTAGAAAACGGAGCATTTAAAAAAACCAAATACGGAATATACGGATTCTATTTATAGATTGCCGTACTTAGAGAGGCCTGGCTATATGGCATAGTCAGTACCAGAGTCGAAACTGAGCTCGTTATCCGCCAGAAACGAATCTGTCTCCGAGGACACAAAAAGAGCGCTTAATGTGAGCGGTGATTAGCTATTCTCTAGCATCAAACGGGCGTTCTCTTTTTTTATCGCAGGATTACCACGACGTGGTGACGAGAGTCCCAGCTCGTGATTAATTCCAAATAGAGGAGCGCATCATGAAATTGACTTGGTACCCAAAACCAAATACCGCGCTGCTCGACAATGGCCTTTCCAAGGGAACAGTGTGACGAAATTGATGTCCTTTCGGTGCGAGCACGATACAGTTTTAAAACATTGTTAATTCCTTTATCGGTGCCTGAGAAAAAAGGAGAAATGATGGGTAGCGGGCAGCATGGCCGGACGTGTTGTGTCTAGCGTATTTGATTATTTGATGGATATCCATAAGTGTTTATGTGAAATAGTGACATCCTTCTCAATGCAGTGAGTTGTCCGATCAAAATGACTGAGTATGCTTGGTGTGCCACGCGATCTATCCAAAATATCAGCGACCTTTGAACGTGTAGTGGCGCTGCTCTCCACCGCATCGTGCTAAATCAACAATCACGTCTGATAATATACTCGCCATAGAAGTCGGATGTTGAGGATCACAGTAAACATCTAAGACCGCCTCTCAAATGTATAGGCTAAAAAAAACTGCGCCATCATATACAAGTGTGCTTTTGGCGCCAACGAACTCCCATCATTAATTTCGTTCACCGGGATGAAGGTCAAATGACATTTTGATGAAGTTGTCCGGAGACAGATATCATTGTAGACTGTCTAGTTTTTATCTGATTGCTCTAATACAGAGCAAACTATGCCGTCAAGCACGAATTCTTGCCCTTTACCGTATCAAAAGATATAAATTGGTATTGTTAGCTACGAAACGGAGGGCCTTTAAAGCTTAAATTCAGCCTCGTGCGTCCTCCACTTTAATTTTTTCCTAATCCCAACCGGCTATTCCTCATTGTCTGTAAAGCTTCAGTATTTTGTAAAAGGCTATGCTTTCCTTCAAGCCAATGGTCATGGTCATGCGTTGGCGTGTAAGCCACGCTAGCTGAAAGGTTCTGAAAAGTGCTATCTACTTCGTGACAGGAAAGAACTTGCAGTGAGGGATGGTCTCGTTGAGTTGAGGCTATACCTGCATGGTTCTTTGCCGTTTGTGATATACAAAGATCAGGCGTCGTGTGGGCATAGCATCATCATCGCAACATCTCTTACAGAGGATGTCGAGGAGAATTAAGGGTCAATTCGGCCTAATGTGGTTGCGGATGTGTTTTTGCGCCGCCATACTCTGAATTGCCGCATGTCGTAACGGTGTTGTTATCAATTAGAAGTCATCGCGTACAGCGTATGGGTCAGACGCGTCATGTATTTTGCGCTGCCAAAGAATCTAGAATGGAAGAAGTTGATTACAGAATGTCGCTTCCTTTATTACTCAGCATTACCCTAAAGCTTGCTTTTAGTGCAGCACTGTCCCACATGACATTCGGCGTGTAGTGTACCTCATAAAGAGAACCTCAGGTATAGGACACTGCACTCTTTATAATGGTAGCCTTACATGATTGTGTAAACGGTAAGCCCATATGTCTGGCGTGAGAAACGTGCCAACGGGTAAAAACTTCGCCAAATGCGTTCGCGTCCTTGGCCTGCCTGCCTGTTCTGAAAGAGTGCTGGCACTCCATTTGTATGAGCTCCATTTTCGGTCTGTGAGAAAACTCGTTCGTTCAAGTGGTAATTTGGAGCCGTAGCAAGATGGTTCATTTTGCTGCTACCGTAGATAGTGTAATCAGTTAGGTACAGCCAAACAATTCTCCAACAAATTGTTTCGCCAACATGGGTTTCTGGTAGCCATTGTATTGGAGAACTTACCATAATATAAGGATATCTTAACGCTTTGGCACAGACCGAACCCAACAAGCTCAATTCTTATGCATAGAGAAGTTTAGTAACCCATCGTGAAATTCATAAGGATGCACCGCCCGCTCCTAATGCGTTTGAGCCTAGTCGTTTGCAGGCGCAGGAGTACCTCCGGCATTCGCAGACTGAAGCAGTATAGTATCAATCTATCCGAAGTCTCCCGCCTAGCCGCGGTGTACCCTTGACACGCCTATGCATACGAGCACACATCTTTAACAAGAAGCAAATCGAGTGTCCAAAAATTGCTCAGTGAGCGCTTTCTGAACCAACAGATCACCAGTCATCAGGACTGTGCACCAATTAAAAACGTAATCTCCGTGAGAAATTACCCTGAGTACTGCATGCTGGTAAAAGAGCAGTCGTGTATCGTGTTCTTTGCGCGTTGTGCAAAAGGAGCATCATATCATCTGGAAAATGCGTAGCGTTGCGCAGCCCCAACTGGTCGCCTGGAATTTTTGATAGAGAGTAGACCAAATAATGAGCTGCAATGGCGCCTGGGCAATTAGTTTTAGCTAAGTGCTGTAATGGGAGAGACATTTTTCACTAAATATATTGGATACACAAGAGGTGGACTACTTTCATGCGGTATGTGATAGCGCATTGAATGGATGATACCGGTGTCTGGTGAAATGAAATGAACGCCTTTAACCCGCAAGCTCAGGATATGAGGAGGTTCTACTTAGGTAATTCTAGCGCATCAGCGACGCTTAATTATCCATCGATTAAGCTATTTAGGTCATATCGCGGTTATGCACAGTCCGAAATCGACGATAAAGCCATTCTTCCTTGTGCAGAGAACGGGGAATCGTATTTGGAGAATCGCATTGAATACTTGCGAGTGGTGCTGGAGTGTGTGTATATGTTTGAATAATTTATTCACCAATATAGATAAGTATGACTTTGGTGCCGACAAAATAGCCTTTCTGAGTTGCTTCAGTGAATGTATCACCTACCGGTAGACCTCGCGAAAGCGTTGCTGGTAGGCCGGTGGTGCAGATGGAATCGATGTAGTGGCTAATATTCTAAGCCAATGAAGAAAGCATCGTGTGCTTCATAGTCTCACTTCTTCAAATTACTAAGGCCAATTTACGGCGTCTGTACGCTCTGGCTTTTACCATAGACCATGTTTCCTAGAGCAGATGTTTAAAACTATATACAAGCTAATGCGTTTATATCTTGGCAGACGATAACCAGCAGAGAAGAGTATCAAGTTAAGGTTAAGAGGTCACTTGCAATGAGGTATTATTGTGTCATGTTCACGATACCCGCTAAGCTCTACGCCATTTTTGATTTTAACAGAATGCATCATTGCGCACGATGCCTTGGCGCCACATTTCGCTCAAAAAATGGCAAGATAGCAATCTTTCCATACCGATTCGAAAGGCCGAGACTTTTCAGCTTAATCATTGACGATCAAACATTCACGTCACGTGGAGGTCATATGATGTGACAATGACAGCATCACGCATTAATGATGCTATTCGTGCTGCAACTTAGTTTGTGCTAACGGAAGATTTTGGGACAAGGAGCACTTATATATCAATTTGTATAGCTGTTAGAGAAGGCATTTTATCATCACCTTCTTTTTCAGTTCGTATTCAAATTTAATTTACTAGATACCCAACGCCGTAATTTTTGTCATGATTTATTTGCAATTACAGAATTAAGATGAGGTTCGTGATACTCCCTAGAAATGCAAGTATACAAACTGTTCGGTGGGCACAAAAAATAGGCGACCAAAACAAAACACGTTCACGTGGAAAGGCTTTAGCAAGGTTGTGGGCCTTAGATAAGTGCTGACAACCCGTCAGTAAAAATTTGTTTACTGGCTTTATTGGAGTGATTTGAGTAATACTGAGATAATAGTCTTGATCAACGAATCTCACGTTACGGCTATCAACGTCACCATTACCGGTAGATGGCCAGTCTATTTCGACAAAGTATATTACCAACATCGCTGTTTTTGGCAATCTCCCCCTGAATCAAGACCTTCACTTGAAGCAAAGTGTCAGCAACGTGCTTTTCATTTACCAAATCATCTACGGAACCTGTATTGAAACAGAACATGTTAATCACGTAGTGAGCGATTCTTTTCACAACGCATTCATAAGGCGAACGCGGAGCTGGAGAGAAATATTCGTACTCATTGAATTTGTGTAGCTCATTCCTTATATGATATCTTTGAATGTCCCAATTATCTTTGCGTCATATTGCATTGCCACCTTTACAAAGTATTTTCGGCCTTAGCGAGTAAAGAAATTACTGATATTGATCGAATTGTTGTCATCTGTCCTGCTAGCCTATGTAGCAAAATTAAAGCTTTGAAATACCTTTATTCTATAACAACCTTTATGAAAACCATGAGGAAAAATTAGCACTCTCGCCATATAAAGCATATTTTGCTCACACGAAAGAGAGGAATGCGATATTTTTAACCCTCCCCAGAATAAACGCAAACGTATCTCTGGGTTTACTCAACATACACTGCGATAACACACGAGCCACCCACACATTGGGTGATGCGCTGAAGATGTATCGACATCTCAGCCAATTGCTGTGACTGAGCAACCCTTTACTCCAGAGAAAGGACAGGAGTATTCAAGGCTTAGGGGCCTCGAGTGGGGGGGAAATTCTATTGTTTTGATAAGGCTTCATTTGTACGGTAAACATTGTGTAGTCATTGGAGAAGGAGGAGATGATGTGTTGAAGTGGCGCCGCGTAATAAGAGCTGGACGAGCAAACTGACTCGACGATTGATGACTGGGATCCGCAAATCATGTATGGCAAGATCTAATTGGGTGATAATGAAGTGAGTGCTGGATGTGACTAAATCAATTCCAAAACTCCTTCCCGCGACTATTCATCTTGTCGGGGCGTCGCAGGGCGAAGATCAAGGGCGGCTACTGCAGAGGAACAGGGAACAAGAAGGGCGCACAGGAATGTAGTTACAGACATGTAGGAAGGGTAGATTGTGTAGCTGCTAACTAATTCACTTCGGCATTTGCCTTCCACTACTCAACACGTTAACAGCCGCACAAGACTTCTAAGCTACAAGACGCCGCCTTGATGTCGATGAAAAAGGCTAAAGTCCTCCTGGAAAGCGACAACTACTTCCAGTGGGAGTTTGCCATGCGCATGACGCTGGCGAGGAAGGGACTGCTGGATCATGTGCAGACGTTGAAGCAGGAAGCAGAGATGACGGCGGCGTGGTTGCTGAACGACATGAAGGCGCTTGGTTGAATCGCCCGGGGCGTGTCGTTGGAGCACCGGACAAAAATTCGCTCGGCGACCTCGGCAGTTCAAGCATGAAGAACTCTTCGGGAGTATTACAACCGGACCACGATGCACACCCGTGTGATGATGACTCGCCGACTCCATGAGTTCAAAT